ACTGAGGTGACGAGCTACCGCCACACGCGCGGGCAGCTGCGATGGTTAGCAGTCCAGACCTGGGTCGACATCGCCTGCCCGGTGAGTTTTGCAGCCCGCGGCACCGACGTCGCCACCTTGGCTGACGTGAAGACCCTGACCGTCGCCTACGTGCACTCGACCGCGAACTTCGCGATCGTGCTGAAGCGCAGGCTCGTCGATCTGATGGCGGCCACCACCGTATGCTTCAGCGATGCTGCGTTCGCCAACGTGGACGGGGTCAAGAGCCAGTGGGGCATGGTGAAGGGGCTCGCTCACCGCCCGCGCGATGTCGTCGGTTGACGCTGCGATCTTTGCCTACCCGTGGCCTGGCACGCGGGCGCGGTCATGGGGTCGGTGAAGTCGACGCTCGCTGCCGAGGGCTACGCAACCTTCGAGGGATCGGAGACCAACCTTTGGTTCCGCCAGCTACTGACCGAGGCCTACAACCTCAAGACGGCGCTCAAGCAGATCGACGTCCTCGCCGACAGGCGCCCTGGGGATATCTACAGCGACAGCGAGGGTTTGTGACGCACATCGCTTCTGATGTGGGCCAGTCAACTGACGAACGATTCCGCATCGTCGCCTCCATGATTCAGGAGGCCGTTCGCCCCAACAGTGCACTCAAGCTCAGCTGGGTCCCGACCTGGGCCATGATCTCGGACGCCTTGACCATGGCAGTGGAAGCCGGCGCCCTGCTGGCATTCTTCGTGACCCGCGAGCGCAGCTACGGGGCCCGGCGGCCGCGTGCCGCCATGCTCGCCTCAGTCCTCTTACCTGCCTCGGCGAGGTCAGGGGGCAGCCTGCGCCTGCGCCGACGGTGCCGGACTACTGCTTCTACATCTGCCTGATGGCGTCCACGTTAGTCCTCGGCATGACCATAGGTTTCGGCATCTTCGTGACGCTCTGGATGATCATGAGGCAGAACAGCATGCTCGCCACCGAGGAGCACGTCGCCGAGGCGAAGGCAATGGGCGAGCACCCTGGCTGGGACGGCCGCTTGCTGGGCCGACGCCGTAACATTCCAGCTGCAATCCCCGAGGATCATGACTACGACGGCGACATCATGATGCATCCCTCGGATGGACATAACAGCGTGCAGGCATCGAGTACATCGGTGTCGGCGTCCGGCGTATCTCTCGGACACCGCCCGTCGCAGCCGCCGGTATCGGCGCCACCGCCGCCACTGTTGCCGCCAGGGCCACTACTTGCCAGCGCGCCACCTACCGCTACAGCAGCACGATCGAGGTCAGCGAGATCTCAGAGTTCGGTTTCAGCCCCAACTTGACCAAGCACAGTTACCGTATGGAGTTCATAGAGTTCTGTATCTGCGAGTGTGGTTTCGTGGAACGGATCCTCGCCGATGGCATCGCCGGACGAAGTGCTCAACTGTGTGGCCGCCGTCCCCCGCCATGATTTCAGAATCGGGCATGATCCGCATAGCGTCTACAGTACCTGCAAGACCTGTAAGAAGCATTCGTCCTGGCTTTTCCGTTTCCACAGGCACAGCAGTCCCGATTTCACGAACTTCCCTGAGGGCGTCATGGATGATCTCATGGGCCATCGGAGAAGGCTCAAGAGTGCTGGCGCGGGCCTGCCATGATGGACAAACCGACGAAGCCCAAGAAGGAAGGTGATCCCCTCTTGGTGTCCGGACGGCAGGTTGGCCGGTCGAACCGGCAAATATTCTGCTGCTTTGGTTTCACACCCGGGTATTCATACGTAAGTCCGCATTGCTGCTTGATTTTTATTCCCGGTTATTTACACGTAGGTCCACATTGCTGCTCTGTCTTTTCATGCCCGGCTAGAGATTTATGTAAGCCCGCATTGATGTTTTATTTTCACAGCGGGCTATATATTTACACGTAAATCCGCATTTCGAGAAGCTTCATTGAGCGTGCACATTTCTTATAAATGTGATGAAGCTCGCACCCATTCAGATCGTACCCCGATAAGTTGGCTATTTTGAGTTTTGTCGCTTCGCGGTCGAACTCCTGCCATTGCTAGCCTTGCTTGTTTTTTTGATTAAGCGGTGGCGCTGAGAGCTGAGAATGTCTTGAAATCCGCGTCGAGCCGTTTGCTCGCCTTCGGCCAGCATGCCTGGCACTCCGCTAAATGAAGAGCCAGGCACTTATATGCCCGGCTGCTCTGACGCTTCAACCTCGAGCGCCCCCGCACCGTGCAGGAGGAGTGTGATTCCAGAAGGCCCGCTGGCCTTCTCACCCATTCCCCGCTCTCCAGTTGCTGCTCTCTCTCTCTCTCTGTTTATATGTATCACTGCCGCCGCCGTTTATTCTCGATTAGGGCCCTTAGCGTTAGAGCTACGCAGTTTGATTGAGCAGCGCTGTCATACGACAAAAATTGCCGCGCCGCGCGCGCCATCCATATCACAGGAAGAGGAGGAGGAAGAAAGAAAAGAAAAGGTGCCTTCCAAAACCATAACCGTCCACTCCAAAACATCATCCCCTCATCACCCTGCTCCCCTCGTCGTCGTCGTCGGTGTCGTCGTCGTCGTCCTCCTCTTCCTCTTCGTCGTCCTCCTCGTCCTCCTTTTCTTTCTCCTCCTCCTCCTCCTCCCCCCTCCCTCCCTCCCTCCTTGCGATCCTCCTATTCCGCCCTCGCTCCCTCCCTCCTTCCCTCCTACCCTCCTCGTCTTCCGTGTTCTTCAGCTGAGTCTGCGCGTATGTGCTCTTCGCCGTCGGTCGCCGGCGTCTTCCATCTTGCCTTTGCCAGGTAGTTCCGTATGACCCGCTGTTCGTGCGATTGCAGCGTATTTTTAGGTGTGTTAACAGACATGGAGCTTTTGTGGCATATCTTCATATCGTTTGTAAGGCTAAACAGACCTGCGCACCGATTCCTGGATAAGCAGATTTCCAGAATCGCTTTAGCGTACAACTTCCACGACGCCCCCACAATGAACATCAAGTTGAAAAACACCATCAGAGAATTCTCTATGAACGTGTCCGGATATCAAATCATGTCGTTTTTTGTTGCAGAAGTGTTAAATGCAGAAGCGCCGCCGTGGGAGCCGCGAACAAACACATGAACGACTGTACGATACTTGTGTTTTCACGCGGCGAATTAGGAACACCTGGAGACAATATGTGACCGTCGCTGCTTTTTATTTGGTGACCTTTATTATAGTGGCAATCGCAAGTTTTTCCAAGTTCTCTGTATTTCCATGTGAAAACAAAAGGTGTTTCATGCTTTTCCTGTTCTTCATGTTTTCCTGGTAAGCCTCCGCGGCCTCACACAGCCGCCACTGGGATTTCTCACGCTTGCAAATTTGAAAAGCCCCACAATCAAATTCGATTGAACCCTCCATAACCGAATTCAGTTTGCAACTCTCGAGAAATTAAAACAAGTTGATTCCCATTTGCAGATAGTTTTGAAACGTACAGGATTTCCAGAGTCAGCGCCGTGGGGGCCGCGGAAGCTTACTAGGAATTCTGCTGACAGAGTTCCCCACATGGAGGTTTTATTGGAGCGCGGACTTACGGGGGTGGGGGCGCAGAAGGTGTAGGAATATGGATGGAGGGAGAACGAGAGCGATGCTATCGAATGGCATACAAAGCTCTTGCGAAATTGCCCCGTCCTCCTAGCGGCCGTCGTCTATGTTCTCAAACTACGCAGGAAGTGGAAGAGGAAGGACAAAAGGAGCAATGGGAATGGCGAGGAGCAGGGGGTAAATGAGAAAAGGCGATGGAGGGGACGGCGGTAGAGCAAATAAGGCAAGGAGGGTGGGGGGGTTCGCCTCCTCGCTCTGTCGGGGCCTTCCTGGAGGGGTGGGAAGGCGCGCGAGACCTTGATACAGTATGGGTTTCGAATACCCTCCTCGCTCAGGCGGGGCCTGCTTGGAGGAGTGGGAGGAACGCGACACCTGATACATAACATGGCTTGCGAATACTCTCCTCGCTCGGGCGGGGCCTCCCTGGAGGAATGGGAAGGACCACGAAACCTGATAAATTACATGGTTTTCGAATCCACCCCTCGCTTACCAGCAGAAACAGAAACAGCAGAAAAAAACGATATTTCACATGGCAAACTTAAAAGCGAAGAACACATGCGACTGTCGCTGTTCCATTGCTCGTCCATTTTTTATATATTTCCCACGTTTTTTTCATGTTGACTTAGCTAGGTTTAAAGCAGACTCTGATTTAGTGTTTTATTTTCCTGAGCTCAAGGCGCCACCTCTGCAGACCCCCACAATTCAAACACATTTGTAGGGCCGCCACTTAGAATCATATTGTAGCAGCCTGTACAAAAGGATTCCTCTACTGATTTGTTTTGTAAAGTCGCAACATCAGGACTCCCTTTGTGAAGGCTGCTGCGCAATAATTTCAATTTTGGAGGCCGCTGCAGGTCCCCAACACTTAAAATGGAGTCGCCACACCATAAATCTACGTGGCAAAACTGCTACATGAGGATTCTAAATGTGTCGCATCTGCACTATATAACTAGCGTCAGTCACAGGTTGTCTTAGCTTTTCCTGTTTTTCCCATGCGGAAGCGCCGGCTGTTTCATGTTTTCAGTTTTTCTGTTTTCATCTCGAGCTCGCCTGGGCTCAAGGCGCCACCACTGCAGATCCCCCACAGTTGAAATCATTTGCAGAGCTCCCGCAAAAGGAATCCCTTTGTACAGGCTGCTGCGGAAGGCCACTGCAGATCCCCCACAGTGACAATCCTGTTTCAAGATCGCCACAGAAGGAGTCCCTTGTAAAGGCTGCTGTAGCAGGGTTTGAAGTGTGGGGAAAATCATGAGAACGAGGCACAGGATGACGAGGAGGAGGATGAGGAGGAGGACTGAGGAGGGATGAGCACGATGAGGGTCAACAGTGATAATGGAGAAGGCGATGAACAAGTGTGAGGAGTACACTTCTGATCCACTGCGTTCCAATCACCAGGAAATCCAACAACAAAAATCGTGTTATACACAGCGGCTCGCACTGGGGAGTCCCAGCCGGCCGCGCCCCACCGCCCGAGGAGAACGGCATCGACGTGGGCGAGGACGGAGGAGGAGGCGTTTGGGAGCCAGCTGGGGGGACCGAGGTGGCCCACCACGGGTTCTTGCCAGCAGAACGGGGGGGAGAAGGAGCTGGTCCTCCTTGATGTCTCGATCTTGGGCATCCGCGGGGGCCCCTCGACGCCATGGCTGGACGCGGCTCGGAACACGGGCCAATCTGGAGCCTGGCAGGTGTCTGGGGATTGTTTTTGAGTGTCTGAGGTATCATCCAGCTCAGGCCTCCCAGCCGCCTCCAAGGGGAGTCCTCCTCGCACTCCTCCCCCTCCCTCGTCCCTCCCTCTTCCCCCCCTCTCTGGAATAATGCCAACTAGTCAAGGGTTATGTTTTCAGGTGTCAGAGTTCTGTTCATCTCGCATCGTCCAGAGTGGCTCGCGCAGTTTCTTCCGCCGATGCGTTTTTCCCAACACTCCTGCTGCATTGGTTCTCGTTATCAACAAAGCACTGCGCTCTCCAACCTTCCTCTTCCTTCCCTTCTTGCCTCCTCCTCCCCCTCCTGCCTCCTGCTTCCTGCCTCCTGGGAGGTCCAGCTGAGTGGGGGGACACGCATGACACTGCCTTTTTCCTATCCTCTACTGTTGAGACCTCGCGGCTCCCTGTGGGGCTGCGAAGCGTGAACCTGTCGCAGGAGTGGAGTTACACGCGCACGCAGCTGGGACCTCGCGGCTCCCTGGGGAGCTGCGAAATTTGAAGCTGTCGCCGCTCCTTGGAGGTCGCGCGGAGCGGAGTGGTACGGGGACCCAGTTGAGACCTCGCGCCTCTTCAGGGGGCCTTGAAGTGTGAAACCGTTGTCACGTTTGTGTTCTTCCGGTAGGTCGCGCGGAGTGCAGTTGTACGGAGACCCGGTTGAGGCCTTGCGGCTCCCGGAGGGGTCTCGAAGTGTGAAGTTGTCGCCATTTTCTTGGGCTCCTTGGAAGTCTAGTGGAGTGGAGTTGTACGGTAACCCAGTTGAGACCTCGCGGCTGCCTGGGTGGGCTGCGAAGTGTGGAACCGTCGCAATCTTCTTGGGCTCCTGGGAGGTCCAGCGGAGTGGAGTTGTACATAGATCCCGTCGAGACCTCGCGGCTCCCTGGGGGGCTGCGAATTGTGAAGTTGTCGCCTCTTTCGTGGGCTCCATGGAGGTCGCGCGGAGTGGAGTTGTACGGGGACCCAGTTGAGACTAGGCGGCTCACTTGGAGGCCGCTAAATGTGACTCCGTCGCGCGGAGGTTCAGCGGAGTGGAGTGGTCCAGCGGAGTGGAGTGGTATGGGGATCCTGTCGAGACCTCGCGGCTCCCTGGGGGATGCCAAGTGCGCACTTGCCGCCACTTTCGTGCACTTCAGGGGGGTCGGGCGGAGTCGTTAGTCACGCAGATCCCATTGAGACATCGCGGCTCCCATACGCACTGCGATTCCTTCAACATGTTTCTTTGTAGTGAGCGGCTCCAAACATGTTCGCCAGATGTTTAGAAAGGGTTGGGTACGCCACCGGGTATTTGTTTTTTTGGGGGGGAGGGCACGGAACGGGCGGAAATCCCCACGACCAACCGATACAGTGAGGCAGTGGTGATCATTGGGACGTGCCCCCGAAGGCGCGGAAAACAGTATGTACGAGACCGAAGAGAAGAGCAGTCCGCAGACATACGCCCCTCTTCTGTGCATGCATGCCACCCGTGCACGTCTTCATGCGTAGCCGCAGGCGCGGCTGCCTGCAGCAAGGCGTCCGCAGACCACCAGTGTATCGTGCGCTGTGCACCACGCCTCCGACGCCGTCTTCGTCGTCGTCGTCGTCTTCGTCTTCGTCTTCGTCTTCGTCTTCGTCTTCGTCTTCGTCTTCGGTCGTTGTCGTCGTTGTCGTCTTTGTCGTCTTCGTCGTCTTTGTCGTCTTTGTCGTTTTTGTCGTTTTTGTCGTCTTCGTCTTTGTCGTCGTTGTCGTCGTCGTCGTAGTGGTGGTGGTGGTCGTCGTCGTCGTCGAAGGCCTTCATATGCTTTCGACGGCCTCCGAGGCCCCGCGAGCAAGGCTTCGCGGCCGCAGCCCGAGAGGACGAGCCGCAGCTCGAGGACCACTGGTCGAAGTCGTACAAGTTCTCAGCGCGCTCCCGCGCCGTGACCCCGTCGCCTCGCCTCGCCTCGCTCACCCTTCCTCCTCCTCCTCCTCCTCCTGCTCCTGCTCCTCCTCCTCCTCCTCCTCCTCCGCCTCCTCCTCCTCCTCCTCCTCCCCTCCTCCTCCTCCTCCTCCTCCCTCCTCCTCCTCCTCCTCGCCTCGCCTCGCTCACCCTTCCTCCCTTGCCAGGGGCGCCGCGCCTCGAGGGCTTTGAGGCGGGCAGCTTCGTGCGAGCTTGGGTCCCTGGGTCTCGGGCCCTGGGCACGCCGGAGAGCCAGGATGGAGGATCGGCCCCGGAGAGCGGGCCTTGGCGCCGAATCACCCGAGCCGCTGGATCTTTGCGACTCCTGCTCGTCATGGTTCCCCCCCTCCGCCCCTCGCCGCCACCGCCGCCGCCGCCGCCGCCGCCGCCGCCGCCGCCGCCGCCGCCGCCGCCGTCGTCGTCGTCGTCGTCGTCGTCGTCGTCGTCGTCGTCGTCGTCGTCGTCGTCGCCGTCGTCGTCGTCGCCGTCGTCGTCGCCGCCGTCGTCGTCGTCGCCGTCGTCGTCGTCGTCGTCGTCGTCGCGTCGCGTCGCCGTCGCCGTCGCCGTCGCCGTCGCCGTCGCCGTCGCCGTTGGCGTCGGCGACGGCGACGGCGTCGCCGTAGCCGTCGGCGGCGGCGTCGGCGTCGGCGTCGGCGTCGGCGTCGGCGGCGGCGGCGGCGGCGGCGTGGTCGTGGTGCGTGGTGCTCTCGGGAGCTCCCTCAGTTCCTCGGTGCCTCTCGGATTTCCACGGCCGTTCTCTCGGCTTGCTCCGGACCCCCCTCCAACGGCGCTGTGGTTCTCGACTTTCCCTCCTGCCGAATCGATCGACCTCCTCCTCTCCCCCTCCTCCTGCATCTGCTCCTCCTCCTCCTGCTCATCCTCCTCCCCGCAGGCTTGAGCGGCGCCCCCGCCCGCCCAGGGCGCGCTTCGCGCAGTTGGGAGAAAATGAGGTGTTTGGGAGGGGTTTGGCGCTGGCGGAGGAGCCGTCCGGGCCTCCGAGAGTTCAGGTTTGAATGCTTTTTGGGTTCCCTCCTCTCCCCTCCCGCACACTTGTCGTCATGCTCACGAGGTGGTGATCGTTGTGAAATAAGTTGATATCTTGCAGGATTCCGATGTGATTGCCTGCTGGTTTAATGCGTACATGCGCTGTGCCAGTTTGGCTCGTTTTGATCATATTACCAGCGTTGGGCGACTTGCGGCTTTCACTCGCGCTGCTCTCTTGTATAATCTTTTCCTTCTGGACCTCTTCGATGTCGTGTATGCTCTTGTACTCCACTGAATCAGGTTCAAGAAGCTAGCAGAGAAGGGCAGCCTTCCTATGTCGCGCAGTGCCTATGAGGCAAAGCAGCTGACGAAGTACTCGGTGGCTTAGTCCTCACTCTCTCCCTCTCTCTCTTGCTCTCTTTCCCCATCCCTGCCCCTCTGTCCCTCTCTTTCTCCCTTTTTCGTCTAGGTTTGTTGTTGCTTGTTCTCTCTCTCTCTCTTTCACCCACTGCGTCAAGCTATAATGCCCCACATGCTTAGTGGGGTTCTGGTTTTCTTCCTTCCCGCGTCGCACCCGCGTCTCCTCACCCGCGTCTCCTCCTCATCACCCCTCCTCCTCCTCCTCCTCCTTCTCACACAGCACAGCGCAGCACAGCGCAGCGCAGCGCAGCACAGCACAGCACAGCACAGCACAGCACAGCACACAGTACATTGACACACAGCACGTACACAGCACAGCACAGCACAGCACTGCTCAGCACAGCACAGCACAACAACTCAAAACAGCACAGCACAGCACAGCACAGCACAGCACAGCACTGCACAGCACAGCACAGCACAGCGCAGCTTCCCCTCAGCGCGGCCTCTGTGCGTGCCAGGGTCGGAAAGCGTGGCAGGGGTGGCACTTTCTCGACACCAGAGAGGGTGCGCAGGGGGCGGTACCTCAGCGCGGCGTCTACGCGTGCCAGGGTCGGAAACCCGACACCAGAGAGGGTGCGCAGAGGATGGTCCCTCAGCGCGGCCCCTATGCGTGCCAGGGTCGGAAAGCGTGGCAGGGATGGCACTTTCTCGACACCAGAGAGGGTGCGCACGAGGTGGTCCCTCAGCGCAGCCTCTTTGCGTGCCAGGGTAGGAAAGCGTGGCAGGGGTGGCACTTTCTCGACACCAGAGAGGGTGCGCAGGGGGTGGTCCCTCACCGCGGCCTCTATGCGTGCCAGGGTCGGAAAGCGTGGCAGGGGTGGCACTTTCCCGACACCAGAGATGGTGCGCAAGGGAGGGTCCCTCAACGCGGCCTCTATGCGTGCCAGTGTCGGAAAGCGTTGCAGGGGTGGCATTTTCTCGACACCAGAGAGGGTGCGCAGGTGATGGTCCCTCAGCGCGGCCTCTATGCGTGCCAGGGTCGGAACGCGTGGCAGCGGTGGCTCTTTCCAGACACCAGAGATGGTGCGCAAGGGAGGGTCCCTCAGCGCGGCCTCTATGCGTGCCAGGGTCGGAAAGCGTGGCAGGGGTGGCACTTTCTCGACACCACCAGAGGGTGCGCAGGGGGTGGTCCCTCAGCGCGGCCTCTATGCGTGCCAGTGTCGGAAAGCGTGGCAGGGGTGGCACTTTCCCGACACCAGAGAGGGTGCGCAGGGGGCGGTCCCTCAGCGCGGCCTCTATGCGTGCCAGGGTCGGAAAGCGTGGCAGTGGTGCACTTTCTCGACACCACCAGAGGGTGCGCAGGGGGTGGTCCCTCAGCGCGGCCTCTATGCGTGCCAGGGTCGGAAAGCGTGGCAGGGGTGGCACTTTCTCGACACCAGAGAGGGTGCGCAGGGGGCGGTCCCTCAGCGCGGCGTCTACGCGTGCCAGGGTCGGAAACCCGACACCAGAGAGGGTGCGCAGAGGATGGTCCCTCAGCGCGGCCTCTATGCGTGCCGGGGTCGGAAAGCGTGGCAGGGGTGGCACTTTCTCGACACCAGAGAGGGTGCGCAGGTGATGGTCCCTCAGCGCGGCCTCTATGCGTGCCAGGGTCGGACCGCGTGGTAGGGGTGGCACTTTCTCGACACCAGAGAGGGTGCGCCGGGGGTTGGTCCCTCAGCGCGGCCTCTATGCGTGCCAGGGTCGGATAGCGTGGCAGGGGTGGCATTTTCTCGACACCACCAGAGGGTGCGCAGGGGGCGGTCCCTCAGCGCGGCCTCTATGCGTGCAAGGGTCGGAAAGCGTGGCAGGGGTGGGACTTTCTCGGCAGCAGAGAGGGTGCGCAGGGGGCGAAACAACGGCCACAATCAACGTACTCGCAAGTTCCGCCCAGCTATCACCACAGCAAGAACCATGATAAGTATGTGAGGTTCCTCGGTAGCGTAATTTGTTTTGATGGGCCACTGGGCGTACGGCAACTTGACCTCACCTTCGAGCCGCCTATTGTGTCGCAGGGAGGTTGTCTGTTTGTTCTCGGAGACTGGTCAAGGCCTCGAGTGTTTGTGTATTGTGGTGAGGCTTAGGAGAATGATGAGAGCCAAGGGGGGAGAAGGAGAATGATGAGGGAAGCAGCGCAGCATCAGGAGTCGGAGAGAGGAAATGCACAGCCATGGGGTCTTGCTTGCAGCGTAGGGTGTAATTTTTGTTGTTGTGGTGGTTGTTGTTGTTGCTGTTGTGGCTGTTGTTGTTGTTGCTGCTGTTGTTGCTGTTGTTGCTGTTGTTGACGCTGGTGATGATGGTGATGCTGTCAATGCTGCTGCTGCTGTTGATGCTGCTGTTGTTGTTGTTGTTGTTGTTGTTGTTGTTGTTGTTGTTGTTGTTGTTGTTGTTGTGGTTGTTGTTGTTGTTGTTGTTCTTGTTGTTGTTGTTGTTGTTGTTGTTGTTGTTGTTGTTGTTGGGTTTTGGATGTCGTGTCTGCGTGTGTCCACTTCGGTCTCCCGTCATCTGGTGTCGCGCCGCCGTGCTTGATTACCAGGCTGCAGCATGTGGGATGTGCCCGAAGGGCTGCGCCCTCTGCCGCCCGTCCCCAGGCGGAGCCATCTTGGGACACCCTCGGTCCTGTCCTGCGGCCTTCTTGGGCCATCTGGGGGCCTCTCGGGGGCATGTTGGGGCACCTGCGGGCCACCATCGGGGCTGCCTTGGGCAGACTTGGGGTTATCAAGGGGCCCGTGAGGGTACTTTGGAGATGCTCGGTGGCATGTGGGGGCTGACTCGGGGCTTCTTTGGGCCATCCTGGGCGATGTTGTTGGAGTCTTGCCCCCCCCTGGAGGCCACCTTGAGGCCCTCCTGTGCGATCTTGGAGCTATCTTGGAGTCTCTGGTGCCTTGAAGTCATCTCGTGGCATATTGGGAGGAAATCAGGCGACTGGCAGAATACACATATCATCCTCAGTTTTTTCCTCGATCTGTTGCCTTCGCGGAGCGTCGCTGGGGCCCTCTCGGTGCGCGCTTGGGGCTGCCTTGAGGCCGTCTTGGGCCGTCCTGGTAGGCTCTTGGGGCTCTTTTTGAGGCCTCTTGGGATGCTCCTATAGGCCTCCTGGGTCCTCCTGGTCTTCTGGCGGCGACCCTCGGGGCATCCTGGGGTAACCTAGAGCGGCCACGAGGAAATGGAGGAGGCATTTCCAAACATGCAGCAGGCTCTGGTCATCTTCTGCGTCTCCCCTGGGCAGGTAGAGACTTGCTGCACATACAATTTGAACCTCACACGGGCAGATGAGGGCTACCACGCTGCTGATTCGCTGGTACTTCGGTTGCCATGCGCCCCTGGTTCTTTGGCTTAGATGTTGTTTGTGTGGTGAGGTGGGCCAGTCAATAGCCGACAAGAAGTTCACCCAGTTCTTGCTGAATGACAGAAAGGTCTTACGGTTCAAGGCTTCCCCCTGGTCTTTTGCAGTAATGTTTGGGAAAGCACATGGTCATATCAGTGCCATTCATGCTTTACCAGAGCAGACTCCGACCTGAGGCTATAGTATTTTGCTCTCGTTGTCAAGGCGCTTCTGTTAGCCCTACTGGATGTAACCGACTTTGATGCGTCCAATGCTCCTGTGTTGATATCCTCACATGAGGCTGCTCCGTTCGCTGTCCTTCTCTTGATTCCACTTTTGCTTGCAATCCAATCATCGGGGGGCTCTCCCACACTCAGCGAGGCGTTTTGGGATGATACCACACTGTACGGTGCTCGGGTTTATTTTGTCATCCACTACTACCTTGCAGACAACACCCTGGAGATCAACGAGGCAGGGCGAGACGGATCCCGCTCCTCCCCTCCCCCCCTCGTCTCCCGCCCTGTCCCTCCCTCCTCTCCCCGACTCCAGCTTCTCAGCGGCTGATCTGCGCCATCCAACTCCAACGCCCTCTGGCTCCCACCTCCGAACGCCTACGGATGAGCGGCTGGCCGGTCTCATTCGTATGATTACAGCCAAGACGCTGAAAAACAAGGACCGCTTTGGGGCCAGGAGGGGCTCTGGTTTTCGGGCCGCTCCGTAGGTCCAGATCGGAGAACCTGTCGTTGGCCGAAACTCGCCGTAACCAGAAACGCCCCTTCGTTCCTGATTGCGAAGGCCTTACGGCCGGTGCCGCCGACCCTGAAGACGACGAAGGTGAAAACGAGCGGGGGGGGAGGAGGCGGAGGAGGAGGAGGAGTGGGGGGCGAAGAGGAAGGGTGGAGGAGGCGGAGGAGTGAGGAGGGGGGGAAGGAGGAGGAGGAGAAGGAGGAGGAGGAGGAGGAGGAGGAGGAGGAGCAGGAGGAGGAGGAGGAGGAGGAGAGAGAGGAGGAGGAGGAGGAGGAGGAGGAGGAGGAGGAGGAGGAGGAGGAGGAGGAGGAGGAGGAGGAGGAGGAGGAGGAGGAGGAGGAGGAGGAGTGGGGGAGCAGCGAGAGGAATCAACCAGAAAAGCCCCTTCGTTCCTGAGGTCAGGAGGCCGCCCGCCCTGGGGCGACAGACCGGCGCCTCGCCTCGCCTCGCCCCTCTTCCCCCCCCCCTGCCCTACCACTCCTCGACCCCTCCTCTCCGCCCCTCCTCTCCCCCCCCTCGCCCCTCCTCTGCCCCCTCCTCTCTCTCTCCACCTCCTCTACCCCTCCTCTATCCCGCCTCTCCCCCTTCGTCTCCGCCCTCCCCCTGTCCCCCATCTCGCCTCGATCCGCCCGCCTGCCTCGTCCCGCCAGTCCTGGCCTCCCGCCTGCGTGCTCGCCGTCGCCTGCCTGCTTTTTGGTTCAAGTTTTGAGCTTTGGTTTTGTGCTGTTTTTTGCCGCGTCTATGGCTCTTGAACTTTCTTGCCTGACGATTAGTTATTGTTGATCCCCCCTCGCCGGTGCATGCATTTTTTTCTCAATCAAAGTGTGCCCCTCGACGCTCGCACCTTGTTTTTTGACAGGGAAAGTCTTGATGCTCAAACTGCGCCCCTGGCCCCCGGGTTACAACAGCAACGGCTCCCGCCGGAGACTTCCTCACAATTTAGCCAGGACCCTGCTCACGCCCGAGACTTCCTCGCATTTTATTCAATAATCGCGCTCTCGCTTGGAACTTCCTTTCAATTTATTCAGGAATCGGCAACGATGAACGCGCGGCGTGCTTCGCATTGCCACCTGGGCCAGCATTCGTGCTCAACCCCCTCCCCAGGATTCGAGCACCGCGATGAGGCGAGACACAGCCTAAAACGTCTCGAACCAGGCACTGGCGCCGAGGGTGCACGAAGAGCCTCCTCACAGAAGCTCAGAAAGACCACGGGGTGGTTTGGTATTTAACCCGCGTCCCATGACGAGAAGTTCGAGACAAGTTCTGACTTGCTTACAGCCGAGCATGTTGATGACATAAACATGGCCAGTACTGAGGACACTATCGACAGGTGCGTCAAGTGCGTTGAGGATATTTGTGGCAAATGTAAATTCAATGCACATGTGCCAACTGTGCCGCGAGGTGCACGAAACACGGCGACGGCAATGCTACATTTGACCAATGCGAATATATATTTATACACATATATATAAGCAACTCCGTCCAATCCATCATCGCGACCTCACTGGCGCGGACGCTGAGGCCAAGGCGTCGAAGATGGTCGCCGACATGTTTGTCGGCCTCAGAGGCGCTGCGGCTTGCGCCCTTATCACGCGAGTGTGGTTAATGGCATATGTTGTATAGCTACAGCGCGTCCAAGAAACGACCGACGCGCAAGTGCGACGGCTGGGCGCGATTGCCGGGGCGTTGCAGATCGCCTGTCAAGCGGTGGCCCCGACGGGCGAGGTCAACCTGCACAGCGACTCCGGCTACCGACGTCTGAGCGGAGATGCCGATGGCGAGGTCAAAGGCTACGGTATTCGCGGGGCAAACCTGCTGCGGCGTGGACGCACGCATGCAGGCGAGCCCGTCGCCCATCTAGTCGACGCGCACTGCAGGTCTCATCGCTTGCAGGTCGGCTCGAGCCACTCAGTGGAAGCACTTGCAGCGGCCCGCCACTTGGAGGACTGCTTTCCCACGATTGTTGCTCTGCGCGAACTCCACGCGGGGCCGCCCACGCCCGCTCAGTGGAAGGACATGCTTGAGATGGGCGGCCTGAGCATTAAGGTCACCGTGACCATCGGTGCAGAATCAGTCTTCAAGTCCTTGTCAAGCAAAAACAGGAAGTAATCGACTTCGCGTACACTTCTGGGACACATCAGTTGGACACGACAAGTGATGGAGCGAGGTATCGTGCACTGCGTACAGTGGTGTGACACTCGCGACATGACTGCGGACGGCCACGCCCGAGGGAGCATCGACAGAGACATGCTCCTACAAGTCATGGGAGGAACACGATCCTTCAAGCATGACTCCAAACGACACACTCCATACAGGGCCGGCCAAACAAGATCGTCTGAACCGCATGAGGAGTAGCTATACGCAGGGAAACTCGCCTGCGAAGTAACTTGCGTGCAAGGTAACTTGCACGCGGGCCAACCTGCGTTATTGAGTCCGCCTGTTGCTGCCTACCTTGTGTATTATGGTGTTATGCTGCATAGCCGGCGGCGGATTCACGTTTCGCCCCCCCGATTCCAAAGGAGGTTAGGGCCAAAACGACAGGTAGCGAGCGTTTGTCCGCGGTCGTTTATGATCAAGCCGCCGGCCACCAAGATATGACTGTGCCTCATTGCGAGGCACAGTACTTGCCATCGATACCGAAAACACATTCGCTTAACATGGCTCGTCGCTCCCCCGCGACTCACTCCTATTTGGGACTATCGTTACTACGGTGCAACAGAGTTGGACATGGACTTCGCCTTACGCGAAGCATCTGGCTGGGCCTCCCAACCCCCTTTCAAACTGCTTCTTGCGCTGTCTTGGGGGCTTTTAGGGTCGTCTCTGGCCACTTGGGCCTTCAAAGGCCGTCTTGGGGTCGTCGATCGAACAGTTCTCCCAAAACGCTTTTCGATGAAAGCGACGCTCTCGTAGGAGGCATCCTCGAAACTGATTTGTTCGCAACATCTTCTCAGCTCTCGGTGCCCAGGACAAATCAAGAGGGCCACAACACGGCTCAAGGTACACCAAAGCCCGCCCAATACGTGTTCAAGGCAGCCTTCTAAGACGGCGCAGTCTAGCTCTTCCTTCTTGTTTCTGTCAGCGTAGACAACGCAACGTGCGCAGCACACAGCAGACACAACGACTTCCACCGCATACGAATAGCATCATGCATATTGGCACACACACCACGCGCAAACCAATTGAACGCGGTGATCCCTCGGACACTCGTTCCACCAATACGCGTCCCGCACGCTCGCCTTATGCTTCAAAACGGCTTCTGTTTCCAGCTTCCGGCTTCGGTTTCCAGATCCCGGCTCTTGGTTCCCGGCTCCTGGCTTCCAGCTTCACCTTCAACTTCCAACTTACGGTTTCTGGCTCCCGGCTTCTGGCTTCCAGCTTATGGCTGGTTTCCGGCTTCTTGCTTCCGCCTTCCGCCTTCCGCCTGCGAGCTTCCAGCTATATATCGGCTTCCGGCTTCCGGCTTCAGGCTTCCGGCTTCCAGCTTCCTGCTTCCGGCTTCCGGCTTCCAGCTATCGGCTTTTGGCTTCCAGCTTCCGGCTTCGGGCTTCCGGCTTTTGGCTCTTGGTCACCAGCTCCCGGCGCCCGGCTTCGGCTCCCGGCTTCCGGCATCTGGCTCCCAGATCCCGGCTTCTGGCTTCCGGCTTCCGGCTTCCGGCTTCCGCCTTCCGCCTTCCAGCTCCCGGCTTCCCAGTTCCCGGCTCCCGTTTTCTGGCTTCTGGCTTCAAGGTTCCGGTTTCCGGATTCCGGCTTCCGGCTTCCGGCTTCCGGCTTCCAGCTTCCTGCTTGATTCCGGTTTCCGCTCCCAGCTCCTGGCTCCCAGCTTCTGGCTTCCGGCATCCGGTTTTTCGGCTTCCGGATTGAACTTATCTTTGGCCGCGCTTTCCGGATCACCTCTCAGCATTCATTTATGACGGGTGTGCTTGTCCTTTCCTCATCCTCCTCGTCATCTTTGTTTTTCTTTATTTGTTTCTCTCTCTCTCTCTCTCTCTTTCTCTCTCTCTCTCTCTTTGTCTCTTTCTTTATTTCTCTGTCTGTGTGTGTGTCTCTCTCTCTCTCTCTCTTGTTTTCGTTTTCTTTTTCTCTCTCGTTCTTTCTCTCTCGCCCAGGCGCCCAGCGCAATCCCTGTGAAAACACAAGGTTTGCCATGTCAGGGGTGTGGAAGCCATGTGTTCTCATAGGAATGTTTGGGATTACTGGGATGAAAGGTGAGGGAACCATGAAATTACATTTACCTCCCTCCAGCGAAAACTACACCCAGGAGCCCTCCCAGGAGGTCCGACCCCCAGAACCCCAACATTTCAAAACATCCAAATGAAAACGCGTGGCTTCCTCATTTCTCATCCCGGGAATCTTCGTAGCCATTTTGGGTCAAGCTCATTTTGTCAGGCCAAGCGATTTTGATTCCACGCATCCATTTCGTTTGCAAATTTTGTTTCATACAAGGCAGCGCAACATCTGAATGCTGTTTGAAAGTAATCAGCGTTCGGGTATTGCCGCATGGATCTGCCGAACTGGTGGCACTGCATTTACCATTATCAGTGCCGCATCAGTGTGTGCAATGTACCTCGAGTTTTCATTCACAGACGGGCTGCAGCTGAATCCGCTCTCCGACCAGTTTCTGGATAAGCATGCGCGCTTTCAGGATGAACCGCAGCCGCTGGATCAGCAGGACGTACGTGCTGATAAAAGACGATCTTTGAAGAAACGTCCTGTCACATTTACACAACTTATCGCTTACGACGCTGGTTTATATTTGGGGCCTCCCAACTCTGTCCTTGCAGCGCAACGGTCATTACAGAATGGTGCGACCAGTCTAGGAGTCGATTTGAGCCTCACGCAAGATGATAAGCTTGTTGGTGCCCACAGCTCGACTGAATGGATTGCAAATAGTGGATTCCCAAAGCGGGCGCAAGATTTGATGGACATTCGTTTTGAACAGGCGGAGTTATCACCAACGTGTGAAATGTTTGAACAATTCTTCTTGTCAATTGGAGTATCATCATCGGAAATGGTTGGCCTTCAGGCTTGTGAACGCCAAACAATTAATACGGTTGAAGATTTCTTTGATGCGTTTCCAGGCATCCCTATCATATTTGATTTGAAAGCAAGTTCTTGGGAAATGCAGCGGAGACAGGTTACTATTCTGCACGAGTTGTTGTATCGAAAATATCCAGAGCGACGTGCAGATGAAACGCTTACTTCACATTACGGGTGTTTGCTTTTCCAAACCAAACCAATCCCGCAGATTATCCGTAAGGGCTTCGTCCCGTACCGCCAGCCCCCTGTCTCGGATAATGGGGGATGCGAAAGCTCAATCATGAGGTCTGGACGCCGCCGTTAAGCAGTGTCGGGACTTGTTTGTTTTTCGACCCTGACCCCGCCGATCTGCGTGAGGGGTGCCACAGAATTTCAGACATGTTGTGAATCCCCACTGTTTTTTGACCCTGGCCCCGCCGATTTGCATGAGGGGTGCTTCCGAATTTTAGAAATCTGACGCATGCCCTGTGTTTTTGGACCCTGACCCCGCCAATCTGCGTGAGGGGTGCCACCGAATTTCAGAAATTTGGCTCATCCCTTCAGTTTTTTGGACCCTGACCCCGCCGATTTGCGTGAGGGCCGCCACCGAATTTCAGAAGTGTGACACATCCCATGTGTTTTTGGACCCTGACCCCGCCGATCTGCGTGAGGAGTGCCACCGAATTTCAGGAATGTGGCAAATCCCACGTGTTATTGGACCCTGACCTCGTTGATCTGCATGAGGGGTGATACCGAATTTCAGAAATGTAGCACATCCCTGATGTTTTTCGGACCCTTACCCCGCCGATCTGCGTGAGGGGTGCCACCGAATTTCAGAAACGTTGCAAATCCTTTGTGTTTTTGGACCCTGACCCCGCCGATTTGCTTGAGGGGTGCCGCCGAATTTCAGAATTGTGGCACATCCCCTATGTTTTTGGATCCTGACCCCGCCGATCTGCGTGAGGGGTGCCACCAAATTTCAGGAATGTGGCAAATGCCATGTGTTTTTTGATCCAGACCCCGCCGATCTGCGTGAGGGGTGCCACTGAAGTTGAAACATGTGGCAAATCCCAAGTGTTTTTCCCGGAAAGGGCGGGGGCCCAGTGTTCTGAATCGATTTGAAGGAGGCCGGCGGGATTATTTTGTGATAAATGACGAGTTTGAAGGAGGCTGGCGGAATTATTTTTGAGGATGTCTCGAGCGAAACGTTTGTTTTTTTCAGAATTTGTTGAGGATGTCTCGAGCGAAACGATTGTTTTGTGTCATACATTGTCCTCTCCTGGGGACCAACATTCAGAGGATCTCTCAAGTGAAATGCTTGTTTTCACGTGCCCAGGTCTTGAGGATGTCTCGAGCGACACGCTTTGTTTCACGCCTCCAGGTTGCCCAGGCAGAGGTCTAGGCCCAGGATTTGTTGAGGATGTCTCGGGCGAGACGTTGGGTTTCACGCGTCCTCGTCGCCCAGGCGGATGTCTAGCATGAGGATGTGTTGAGGAAGTCTCGATCGAGATGCTTGTTTGGACGTGTCCAGGTTGCCCAGGCGGATGCCTAGCATGAGGATGTGTTGAGAATATCTCGAGAGATACGCTTGTTTTCACGTGTCCAGGTCGCCCAGGCAGATGTCTAACATGAAGATGTGTTGAGGATGTCTCGAGCGAGACGTTTGCTTTCACGTGTACAGGTCGCCCAGGCGGATGTCTAGAATGAGGAGGTGTTGAAAACGTCTCGAGCGAAACGCTTGTTTTCACGTGCCCAGGTCACCCAGGCGGACGTCTCACATGAAGATGTGTTGAGGATGTCTCGAGCGAGCCACTTGTTTTCACGTGTCCAGTTCGAGCGAAGCGTTTGTTTTCACGTGTCCAGGTCGCTCAGGCGGATGTCTAGCATGAGGATTTTGACAGGATGTCTCGAGCGAAACGCTTGTCCCCAGCACGTTCCGTAGCGCGTCCCCTTGGCACGTCCCGCGGTGTGGCACGTCCCCTGGCACGTCGCTTGGCGCGTCCCTTGAGACGTTCCGCGGCTCGTCCTCCTGGCATGTCCCCCTGTCAATTAGCTCTGGGGTAGCTACCATGTGTTCAGTTCGGTCAGGACTCGGATGCAAAGGAGGACTCGATCCACGACGCTATAGAGCACAATCGCGTCATGGCACATCGCAATTCAGAACGGCGCAGCAGAGCACAGACTTCGGCACGGTACATCAAGATCGATACACTCAGCATTGCAACTTGGCACGTTCCTTTGCACGTTCCGTGGGGCGTCCCTTGGCGAGTCCCCCTGGCACGTCGCGTGGCGCGTCCCCTGGCACATCCCGTGGCACATCCATTGGCACGTTCCGTAGCGCGTCCCCTTCGCACGTCCCGCGGTGCGACCCCATAGCACGTCCCCTGGCACGTCGCCTGGCGCGTCCTTTGAGGCGTTCCTCGGCGCGTCCTCCTGGCATGTCCCCCTGTCAATTAGCTCTGGGGTAGCTACTATGTGTTCAGGCAGCTCGAGCTTAAGATCCAGATCAGTTCGGTCAGGACTCGGATGCAAAGGAGGACTCGATCCACGACGCTATAGAGTAGAATCGCGTCATGGCACATCGCAATTCAGCACGATGCAGCACAGCATAGCTCTCGGCAGGGTACATCAAGATCGATACACTCAGCATTGCATTTGCCCGTCACCCAATCAGGTTTCTTTGAAAACGTTACCATGCGTTACATTTCTATATTCCTTTCCGGGTTCGTGGGTCGATCATGTTGGACCCTGACCCTGCGGATCTGCGTGAGGGGTGTCTATTTTCACCCCCCCCAGAAATTCTGAGAACTCTCCCAGGTCGTGGTAGTTCTGCTGGTTTGGGCCCCCCCCTCGCGCGTTCATCAACAAGGGACAGCAAGCAGCAAGAAGCAGAACTGTAACAGTGTAAACTGGAAGCTGCAGCTTGTACAGGGAGCAGCACATTCCCGGCCTGCAGCCTGGTGGCCCCGCAAGGGGGCCGGCGGATTTTGAAGATTGGTTCGGGTCTTCAACGCTGCCTTTCACATTCAGTCTCGGGGTACCCGCGCCGGGGGGGTGGGGCAAGCGAAACAATATTGAGACGCTCAGTCGCATTCTCACAAGCAGTACAGCCTCTCAGAACGGGAAACTTCAGATATTCTTGACACCTTCTGAATTGGCGGCTAGTTCTCGTTTCTTCAAGATTGTTGGACAGGTTGACATAATTTGTGATTTGGCCGTTCACGAGCTCGACGGAGAGGCCCATGCAATTCATATATCACGTTACCGAGATCTGCACTCTTGGCAAAGCGATTTGCAATATTGTGTTGAATTTGGTGTTGCAGCTGTTCATACTTCGAGAATTGATTTGATTTTGAAGACATTGATAAAATGGTCAGTTAGGGCGAAGGAAATTTCGCCAGCTGGGCCAGCTGCCAGCCTGAGCAGCCCCCTGGCCGAGAAAATGTGGCCAAAAGCATTTTGGCCAGCAGCGCGTGGTAGGTGTGTTTTTGCCGAGCGTGGGTCGGACCCTGGTCCAAGTTTGGTTCTGTTGAGCCAAAGCGACGCATCACACCAGACGCAGAGGTTCTCAGTTGGCCCAGACGTTGCGAACAGAAGCATGTGGATGCGTTGTGCTGGGAAGTTTGCCACGGCCCTCCTGGTGTTACGACTCGTGGAAATCGGCAAACTCCCAGGGCTCGATGAGCCAATTGTTGAGTTTCTTCAGTTACAGAAAGTGGAGAACCATTCAGTACTGCAGCGATTGACGTTGCGGCATGTCATGGCAGGCGTGGGTGGCTTACCCTACTGGCACTGGACGCCTGACTGGGTGAAAAAAAGAATCATGCCAGCGTCCAGTATATGTGAAGAGGCACTTCGCAAGGTAAGCCCCTCATTTGTTCTGGGCTCCCGATTTCAATATTCCAACATGCAGTGGGCAATCGTAGAGCGTGCTGTCGAAGTTGCCACAGGCTGGAGCTTCCCCGATGCAGCTCGCTGGTATTTGTTCGATCCACTCGGCATTTCGAATCGAACGTATTATCAGTCTGAGACACTGCCTTCTTGCTCCCAGAGTGTTTCAACGCGAGTTTATGAGATCAATTTGCGGGCAGGGATCGGCCTTAGTTCGATTGCCGCGGATATGTTTCTCCTTGGTGAAGCCGCCCGTACTGTTGGATTTCTGTCGATTCGCGGAGTGCAAGAAGTAGTTATGGATCAACTGCGCCACAGATTTCCCGCCGCGATTCCGAGTTTCCTGAACAATGCCCCAGTAACAGATTTCACTGCAAATGGGATAGAATGGTCTGGCCGAGGCTTTGCTGGCTACTACTGGGCAGACGAATGGCTTGTGGGCTATGGCGGGCCAGAAGGATTCTGGGGTCAGAAGGTTCTGTTACGCGTCAAGAATGGACTCGGATCAGGGCCACTTTTGGTACAGTGGGTTTCTACACCGCATTCTAACAAGAGCGCGCAAGATTTTGCCAGGAGCGTGTTTGATCTATTCACTGCTGCACCCGACAGATTTGGTTCCTCATTGCCAGATTGCCAAACAGGCGCTGGCATCGGTGGTTCAATTGCAATCTGGAATGTCGCGGCAGAAAGGTCCAACTCGAGTTACAAAACACGAGCGGAGGATGCACTAGTGCCAGAGTGCATGTACGCAAGAAGAACGTTGGAGCCGCTTGGCGATCACCCAGTGTGCAATCGTCAATTTATTAAAGGCCGCCGCCTCTGCCGCCGACCCCAAAAAGGACTCCCGCGCGGAATCCGCTGCATGTCTGTGTACGGTGGTCGCATGGGGACATCCATTCTTTGGCGTTGTAGCCACGTGTTATCGGAAGATACGGTCCCGAGGGCCGGCGCAGTCAGCCGTGTGCGGAGGTAGTGCTGAATTGGCATTGGGGCTTCCTCGGCGCCTCTGGGGCCTGCTGTGGGCCTCTTGGGGCGGAAGGCTAGGATTTTCGGTTCGTGTTCCCTCTGTGGGACTCCTTTTGGGGCGTCCTGGGGCTCTCTTGGGTTCCTTTGGCGTCTCTTGGGCCGTTTTGGTGCTCCCTTGGGCCGTTTGGGTTTCAAAAAGGCCACAAGAGAGCCGCCACAGGCCCCAAGATCGTCCGAATACGGCCCGGGACGCCCCAACTGGGCGTGTCCTCAGGTCCTCAGGCCACCCCTCGAAGCCTCAGTCCTCGCTCCTGGGGAGTGTTGGAAGGGTTCGCAGCTCCTCGGCCCAAATCTCTTGGAGTTCCCCGCGTCTGACGGGCCATGAGGGCGGCAAGAAGCCCCCCAGACGGACCAAGAAGGCCCTGAGTCGCCGAAAGAGCGCGCCAAGAACGCCCAAGATGACTCCCGGCCAAGGAGGCCGAGGTCTCCCCAGAGAGCCTCAACACGACCACATCATTGATTTTCTTTAGGGTGTTCAGGGATGTGGGTGTTCTCATCGCCTCGGCTTCCCCACACTCCCGACTACCCCAAGACGGCACACCCATGCACCCACACACCCACGCACCCACACCCACACACCCACACACACACACCCACACACCCACACACCCACACGCCCACACGCCCACACGCCCACACACCCACACACCCACACACCCACACACCCACACACCCACACACCCACACACCCACACATCCACACATCCACACATCCACACACCCACACATCCACACACACCCACACACCCACACACCCACACCCACACACCCACACACCCACACACCCACACACACACACCCACACACCCACACACCCACACACCCACTCACACTCACACACCCACACCCCCACACAGACACCCGCATCCACACCCGCACCCGCACCCGCACCCGCACCCGCACGCGCACCCGCACCCGCGCCCGCACGCTCACGCGCACGTGCACGTGCACGCGCACGCGCACGCGCGCGCGCACGCCCGCACGCACGCACGCACGCACACACGCACTCACACACACACACATTTTGTTTGTGTCTTTCCACTATGTGTGTCTGTGTCTTTTTCCACGTGTTTCTACATGTGTGTGTGTGTTCCACGGAGCTAAATCCATAATTAAGGTGCGTCTCGGGCTTCTTGTTGCGAGGGGCGCCACCAGGCCGAGGCGCCCTGGATACGACGAAAGCTCGAGCCTCTAAGGGTCAGATTTGTGTTCTTGTCCAGTGCGCCTGGGGTTGTCTGGGGAAGGGGGCCCGAGACTCCAAGCTGCAGTTGACGTGGACACAAGTCTGGGTGACCCAAAAGGGGGTCCAGCTGAAAGGGGCTGGTGCAATACATTTTGGGCAATTCTAGTGCAAATGCACTGCGCCGGGGAATTGTATTGCATTGTATTGCAAGTAATGCATTGCACGCGAAAAGACAGCAACACATTTGCGCCCCGAAATGTGTTGCACGCCCCAAATGTATCGCAACCCACCAAATCTACTGCACCAGATCTATTGCACCACCCCCTTGTCTCTGGACCTCCTTTTGGGTCAACCCGAACAAGTCTTGCCCGCAAGAGCGTCCGACGACCTGGCCCTGGATCCCCCGTGGTCCTCCCGATTACCCGTGTCGCAGCGCCAGCGCTCGCGCAAAGCGCGGGCATGCCGAACACTCAACCACCGGGGCAGGGGGCGCAGGAGGAGACCAGCCGCGACTGGCGGGGAAGAGTGCGGCGGTGGCGCTCATAACAGGAGGAACTGGCTTGGCGGTCGGTGCTGCGGCTGGTGCTGGATTGGCCCGTACAGTAAACCCGCATAGTAAGGACGGCAAGGTTTTCCCACGGGTAGCCTGTTTTCCCAGGGTGGGGGGTCCTTCAAAACCTATGCCCAGAGGCCTCGGGAGGCTGGCGGTGTCAGACGTGGTGGGGGCGTGGTGGGGGGGTCCCGGCGGAGATTTTGCAGGGTGGGGGGGTTCCAAAAACCTATGCCAGAGGCCTCGGGAGGCTGGCGGTGTCAGACGTGGTGGGGGCTTGGTGGGGAGGTCCCAGCAGAGATTTGCCAGGGTGGGGGGTCCTTCAAAACCTATGCCCAGAGGCCTCGGGAGGCTGGCGGTGTCAGACGTGGTGGGGGCGTGGGGGGGGGTCCCGGCGGAGATTTTGCAGGGTGGGGGGTTTCCTAAAAACCTTATGCCCAGAGGCCTCGGGTGGCCTGTGTTAGACGTGGTGGGGGCGTGGTGGGGGGTGTGGCGGAGATTTTGCAGGGTGGGGGGTTTCTAAAAACTTCTGCCCAGAGGCCTCGTGAGGCTGGCGGTGTCGGACGTGGTGGGGGCGTGGTGGGGGGTCCCGGCGGAGATTTTGCAGGGTGGGGGGTCTCTTTGCCCAGAGGCCTCGGGAAGACGTGGTATGCCCAGAGGCCTCGGGCTGGCGGTGTCAGACGTTGATTTTGCAGGGGAGGGGGGGGGTCCCCAAAAACCTTTGCCCAGAGGCCTCGGGAGGCTGGCGGCGTCAGACGTGGTGGGGGCGTGGTGGGGGTCTCGGCGGAGATTTTGCAGGGTGGGGTGCTTCCTAAAAACCTTTGCCCAGAGGCCTCGGGAGGCTGGCGGTGTCAGACGTGGTGGGGGCGTGGTGGGGGGTCCCAGCGGAGATTTTGCAGGGTGGGGGGTCCCTGGAAACCTTTGCCCAGAGGCCTCGGGGAGGCTGGCGGTGTCAGACGTGGTGGGGGCGTGGTGGGGGGTCCCGGCGGAGATTTTGCAGGGTGGGGGGTCCTAGAAACCTTTGCCCAGAGGCCTCGGGAGGCTGGCGGTGTCAGACGGGGTGTGGGCGTGGTTTGGGGGGTGCAGGCGGACGATTTTGTCTGGGTGGGGGGTCCTTAAAGACCTTTGCCGAGAGCCTCGGGAGGCTGGCGTGTCAGACGTGGTGGGCGTGGTGGGGGCGTACCGGCGGAGATTTTGCAGGGTGGGGGGGCCCTAAAAACCTGCCCAGAGGCCTCGGGAGGCTGGCGGTGTCAGACGTGGTGGGGGCGTGGTGGGGGTCCCGGCGGATATTTTGCAAGATGGGGGGCGCCTAGAAATCTTTACCCAGAGGCTTCGGGAGGCTTGCGGTGTCAGACGTGGTGGGGGCGTGGTGGGGGTCCCTGCGGAGATTTTGCAGGGTGGGGGGGGGAAACACTTTGTTCAGAGGCCTCGGGGGGCTCGCGGTGTCAGACATGGTGGGGGCGTGGTGGGGTCCCGGCGGAGATTTTGCAGGGTTGGGGGTCCGTAGAAACCTTTGCCCAGAGGCTTCGGGAGGCTGGCGGTGTCAGACGTGGTGGGGGCGTGGTGGGGGGTCCCGGCGCGGAGACTTTACAGGGTTGGGGGTCGCTAAAAACCTTTGCCCAGAGTCCTCGGGAGGCTGGCGGTGTCAGACGTGGTGGGGGCGTGGTGGGGGGTCCCGGCGGAGGTTTTGCAGGGTGGTCCCTAAAAATCTTTGCCCAGAGGCCTCGGGAGGCTGGCGGTGTCAGACGTGGTGGGGGCGTGGTGGGGGGTCCCAGCGTGGTGGATGCGTTGTGGGGGGTCCCAGCGGAGATTTTGCAGGGTGGGGGGTCTCTAAGAGGCCTCGTGAGGCTGGCGGTGTCAGACGTGGTGTGGGCGTGGTTGGGGGGTGCCGGCGGAGATTTTGCAGGGTGGGGGGTCCTTAAAAACCTTTTTTTTTTTTTGGTTTTTCTTTCTCTGTTTTTTTTTTAGTTTTTTTTTTTTTTGTTTTCATTCCGCGCACGCTGCTCAGAGAATCGGGAGGCTGGCGGTGTCAGACGTGGTGAGGGCGTGGTGGGGGGGTCTCGGCGGAGATTTTGCAGGGTGGGGGGTCTCCAAAAACCTTGGCCAGAAGCCTCGGGACCTTTTCTCAGAGGCGTCGGGAGGTCGGGGCGTGGTGGGGGGTCCCGGCGGAGATTTTGACGGGTGGGGGGTCCTTAAAACCTTTGACCAGAGGCCTCGGGAGGTTGGCGGCGTCAGACGTGGTGAGGGCGTGGTGGGGGGGTCTCGGCGGAGATTTTGCAGGGTGGGGGGTCTCCAAAAACCTTGGCCAGAAGCCTCGGGACCTTTTCTCAGAGGCGTCGGGAGGTCGGGGCGTGGTGGGGGGTCCCGGCGGAGATTTTGACGGGTGGGGGGTCCTTAAAACCTTTGACCAGAGGCCTCGGGAGGCTGGCGGCGTCAGACGTGGTGGGGGTGAGGTGGGGGGTCCCGGCGGAGATTTTGCAGGGTGGGGGGTCCTTAAAAACCTTTGCCCAGAGGCCTGGGCGGAGGTTTTGTAGGATGGGGGGTGCCTAATTACCTTGTGACGTACCCAACCCATTTGTATCATGGGAAACGAGGAGTTGGCCGAAACTTGCATGGACAATCAGATTGCAGGATCCGTTGTTTGATATGTAAGCTACTTGGGACACGCGCCTATGGCATGATGCGCAGGAGAACCATACAAGAACGAGGGGCGACAACTTCAGGCTCGAAGAGGACATGGGGAGTCGGGAACGAAGAGCAGGAGAAAGACGTGCGGGAAGCCCACTGTGCTATGCCCCTCAGCAGCCCTCGAAAGTGGCGACAGTTTCACAGATCGCAGCCCCCCAGGGATGGCGAGGTCTAATTTGAGTCTGCGGTGAGTACCCACTGTGCTGGGCCCCTCAGCAGCCCTCGAAAGTGGCAACAGTTTCACAGATCGCAGCCCCCCAGGGATGGCAAGGTCTAATATGAGTCTGCGGTGAGTGCCCACTGTGCTGGGCCCCTCAGCAGCCCTCGAAAGTGGCGACAGTTTCACAGATCGCAGCCCCCCAAGGACGGCGAGGTCTAATCTGAGTCTGCGGTGAGTACCCGCTGTGCTGTGCCCCTCAGCAGCCCTCGAAAGCGGCGACAGTTTCACATATCGCAGCCCCCCAGGGATGGCGAGGTCTGATTTGAGTCTGCGGTGAGTACCCACTGTGCTGGGACCCCCAGCAGCCCTCGAAAGTGGCGACAGTCTCGCAGATCGCAGCCCCCCAGGGACGGCGAGGTCTAATCTGAGTCTGCGGTGAGTACCCACTGTGCTGTGCCCCTCAGCAGCCCTCGAGAGTGGCGACAGTTTGACAGATCGAGGCCCCCCAGGGACGGCGAGGTCCCGCTCATGTCCGCGCGGTGCCTCACTCAGCAGGACCCACCAACAGCCTTCGAAAGCGGCGACAGTCTCGCAGATCGCAGACCCCCAGGGACGGCGAGGTCCCGCTCAGGTCCGCGCGGTGCTTCACTCTGCAGGACCCACTAGCAGCTCTCGAAAATGGCGACAGTTTCGCATATCGCAGCCCCCCAGGGGCGGCGAGGTCCCGCTCAGGTACGCGCGGTGCCTCACCCCGCAGGACCCACTAGCAACCCTTGAGAAGTGGCGACAGTTTCGCATATCGCACCCTGCCAGGGACGGCGAGGTCCCGCTCAGGTCCGCGCGGCGCCTCACTCCGCAGAACCCACCAGCAGTTTTCGAAAGTGGCGACAGTTTCGCAGATCGCAGCCCTCCAGGGACGGCGAGGTCCTGTTTGGGTCCGCGGTGGGTACCCTCTCTGCTGGCCTCCCCAGCAACCTTCGAAAGTGGCGACAGTTTCGCAGATCGCAGTCCCCCAGGGGCGGCGAGGTCCCGTTTGGGTCCGCGGTGGGTACCCTCTCTGCTGGCCTCCCCAGCAGCCCTCGAAAGTGGCGACAGTTTCGCAGATCGCAGCCCCCCAGGGGCGGCGAGGTCCCGTTTGGGTCCGCGGTGGGTACCCTCTTTGCTGGCCTCCCCAGCAGCGTTCGAAAGTGGCGACAGTTTCGCATATCGCAACCCTCCAGGGACGGCGAGGTCCCGTTTGGGTCCGCGGTGGGTACCCTCTGCTGGCCTCCCCAGCAGCCCTCGAAAGTGGCAGCAGTTTCGCAGATCGCAGCCCCCCAGGGACGGCGAGGTCCCGTTTGGGTCCGCGGTGGGTACCCTTTCTGCTGGCCTCCCCAGCAGCCCTCGAAAGTGGCGACAGTTTCGCATATCGCAGCCCTCCAGGGACGGCGAGGTCCCGTTTGGGTCCGCGGTGGGTACCCTTTCAGCTGGCCTCCCCATCAGCCCTCGAAAGTGGCGACAGTTTCGCATATCGCAGCCCCCCAGGGATGGCGAGGTCAAAGGCAGAGGGGGAAGAGAGGGACGGGAAGGAAGGAAGGAAGGAAGGTTCGCGCGAGCAGTGCTCTATTCAAAACGAGAACCCAACGGAGGAGGGTTGGGAAAAAACTGTGCTCAGAGGCCTCGGGACGCTGGCGGTGTCAGACGTGGTGGATGCGTGGTGGGGTGTCCTGGCGGAGATTTTGCAGGGTGGGGGGTACCTAAGAGGCATCGGGGGGCTGGCGGTGTCAGACGTGGTGGGGGCGTGGTGGGTGGTCACGGCGGAGATTTTGCAGGGTGGGGGGGGGTCCTTAAAATCTTCGCCCCGAGGCCTCGGGAGGCTGGCGGCGTCAGACGTGGTGGGGCGTGGTAGGGGGTCCCGGCGGAGATTTTGCAGGGTGGGTGGTGCTTAAAATCCTTTACCCAGAAGCCTCGGGAGGCTGGCGGTGTCAGACGTGGTGGGGGCGTGGTGGGGGGTCTCGGCGGAGATTTTGCAGGTTGGGGGGTTTTTAAAGACCTTTGGCCAGAGGCCTCGGGGGGCTCGCGGTGTCAGACGGTGGTGGGGGCGTTGTGGGGGGTCCCGGCGGAGATTTTGCAGGGTGGGGGTCCGTAAAAACCTTTGCCCAGAGGCCTCGGGGGGCTGGCGGTGTCAGACGTGGTGGTTGGGGGGCCTGGCGGAGGTTTTGCAGGGTGGGGGGTCCTTAAAACCTTTAGCCAGAGGCCTTGGGAAGCTGGCGGCGTCACACGTGGTGGGGGCGTGGTGGGGGGTCCCAGCGTAGATTTTGCAGGGTGGGGGCTTCTTAAATAACCTTTGCCCAGAGGCAAAAAGTTTGCCCAGAGTCCTCGGGAGGCTGGCGGCGTGGTGGGGGCGTGGTGGGGGATCCCGGCGGAGATTTTGCAGGGTGGGGGGTCCTTAAAAACCTTTGGCCAGAGGCCTCGGGAGGTTGGCGGTGTCAGACGTTGTGGGGGCGTGGTGTGGGTCCCGGCGGAGATTTTGCAGGGTGGGGGGTTCTTAAAAACCTTTGGCCAGAGGCCTCGGGAGGTTGGCGGTGTCAGACGTGGTGGGGGCGTGGTGGGGGGTCCCGGCGGAGATTTTGCAGGGTGGGGGGTCCCTAAATCTCCGACGTAGAATTACGGTAATAATTGGAGGATGAGAGCATAGTGAACAAGTGTGCAGTGGAACCCCACACGCCTCGGGGGTCGATGGATATAGAAATAGAGAGAGAGAGAGAGGGATGGCTAGTTGGTTGCTGAAAGGTACAAAGGATGTCGCACGCGCCTTTGGGGTCGGCGGATATTTGCGTGGAGACTCCCAATCCAGTGATTATCAAACAATGGCGGAATGGGCCGAGACCACGATCGATGTAATCGGGCTTCGTGCCGAGCCACACAATGTCAAAGAGTTTCAGCTGAGCGCGCAGATGTTGAATGAGGGGCTTAGCAAGAATTGTCGGCTCGAAGGGTGGCTTAAGGAATTGGTGAAATGGCCCATCGACAAACAATGTATTGATATAGAGAACCAACCAGCGTCGAGAGTGCGAGATGTGTACGAGTATGCGCGTTGTGGGAACGGTCTTGGGGCCACATGTGACAGAGACGTGAAACATGTGACAGAAGCGTGTAACCGCTTGGCCGCAGCGTCTATTGCATGGAAAATGCGGAGTGGTCTCGCAAAGGAGTATCCCGACGTGCCGAGCATGTTCGACATTGTTCGACAGCACCACTATTGGATGGAAGTCTATTATGGCAAGAATCGTCTGGCACCAAGGCCAAAGTTGCTTACACCGCCGAAAAGAAAGGGGCAGAAATATTGTTACATGTTTCCGAAGCCAAGCAACACGCTTTGCCGAGGAGGACTGGCTCAATACCGCGCCTTGGCATCAGAGTTGGAGGATCTTCTTCCAGGCGGGCGAAATCTATGGCATCACGAGTTTGCACTTTCTAGGGATTTTATTGCTTATCGTCCATTACCTTCCCTCGCTGGATTTGATATGAATGCGATCGCCAACGAGCGGAAAATATTAATAGTTGCTGGTGCTAATGGCTTCTTCCGTGCACCCAAAGTTCTCATGGACATGTACCGCCCATACTTTGAGTTCGATCGAGTGGTACTCTTCGAGCCTGACTCGCACGGCATGAGTGTGCCATCGCATTGTAATGCGAGCGGTAATGTGGAGTGGGTTCAAGGTTTCGTGAAGGTCGCGTCATGTGATGCGTCCGACCTCATCACATACTTGAGTCACAATGTTTCGCCAGATAATTTCGTTGTTGTCGTGTTCGACGTTGACGATGAGCATGCAGGCGCTAGTCATGGTGCCACCATGGAGTGGGGTTGGCTTGCAACTTTAGTGAATCACGACCTTCGGCTGATTGATGAACTTTACATCGAATTACACACGTACAAACCAGAAGTTGGGTGGTATCACGATCGGCACAGTGCATGGGAGCAATACGATGTCATGCACCAGTTGCGGTACGTGTGTGGGGCAGCGGTCCATGCTTGGCCTTGACATATGCAGAGTGTTGTGTTGGCTATGAAGTGTTTCGCTGTTGGCGTTCGATTATTCAGCGAGGGATCTGTTCGATGCCCCAGTATGTGTGCCGTTCTCGCCAATGCGCGTCAGGCTGCAATGCTGGCTTGGCGAATGGTCAGGAGGAAGGGGGGAGGGCCGCGGACGGCCGAGGCGCCCTGATGGCGTGATGTTTTTCCCGGACCTTGCGGAGGGGTTCCCGTTTAGTGTGCTTCTGGGAGGTCTGGGGGGGGGGACCCCCCAGGACATGGCCCCGGCCACGTGACGAACGCCAGCAGAAATCCGGCGGAAGACAGCAGACGGCCCCAGTTCGGCGGACGCGCTTTCGGGCGACACGGGCGGCACCAAGATGATCCGCATGATGGTCCAAGAGGGCCACGTGCCACCGACTGAGCGGTCTAGACGGCCCAGGGAGCCCCGAAGACGGTCTCGGAGACCTCCAAGAGGCTCCCCGGGAGAGCCCCAAGAGTCAATTCATTGATTGTCCGCCTTCCCGACGCTCGAAGACGACCCAAGACGCCCCAACGATCCGGCCAAGACGGCCTAAGAGGCCCCCGAGACAGCGCCCGGACGGTCCAAGGCGCCCTCAAGACAGCCCCAGTGGCTTCCATGACGGCCTCAGAAGGGCTGAGGAACGCCCCAAGAGAGCCCCCAGAGAGGAGGCAGGGACCGACATTCCCAAGGGGCCTCCAGAAGGCCCCGAAAAGCTTCGAAGAGGCCTTCAGGAACCCCCCAGAAGCCTCCAAGACGGCCCCAAGATCACCCGAGAGAACCCCACGATGGCTGGTGACGTCCCGACAAAGCGTCACAGCCCCAAGCGGACAACACGGGAATCAACGTCACGCTCTTTATGGGCGTCTTCTTCTTTGCTGTCCTCTTCATCGAAAGTCACGCCCATTTGTCCTCCAAGAGGTCTCCCAAGAGACCCCGAAGAGTCCAAACTCATTGATTTCTTTCAGTTCTTTCAGTTCTTCTCTGTTTTCGGCTTTCGGGCTTCATATCATAACGCTCCAAGGCGGCCCGAGAGACCCCACACAGTCTCCCAGGAGGGCACCCAGACGGTCGAAGACGCCCCGAAGACAGCCCAAGACGCCCCCAAGACGACCTAAGACGGCCCCAGGAACGCTTCAGGAACGGCCCCAGAAGGGGGGGCAGGGACCGACATTTCGGGCTCTCCGCCCAAAGAAGTCCCAGGAGGTCGTAAGTGGCCCCAAGAGGACCCAAAAAGCCTACAAGAAGTTTCCAGGAAGCCCCCAGGGGCCCCCAAGAGGGCCCCAAGACTGGCCTAAGAGGGCCCCGAGATGGTCGGAGACGCTCCAGGGCCCGAAGACTGCCCAACACGGCTCCAATCTGGTCGGAAAAGCCCAGACAAAGTAGTGCAGCATCAAACGGACAGCACGGGAACCAACATAATGCGCCTGAATGCGGCACAGCGTCAAACGGACAACACGGGAATCAGCATCATGCGCCCTATAGGCATCCTCTCCTTTGTTTTTCCCTTCCTCGCAAGTCACGCCCACTAGTCCTCCAAGGTCGGCGTTCGTGGCAATATCAGGTTTTGTTCCCCGACCTGGCGGCTGGGGTCCCCGTTTAGTGTTCCCCTGGGGGTTTGGGGGGGATACCCCCCGGGACATGGCCCCGGCCACGGGCGGAACGCGGGCGGAAGACGGCAGAAGACGGCAGGACACGGCCCCATTTCCGCAGACGCGCTCCCGACAGGCGCTGACGGCCCCAAGATGGTTCAAGAAGGCCTGGAGTGGCCGAAAGATCGGCCCAAATCGCCCAATAAATATGGCGTCCCGACGTCCCAAGAATCCCAAAAGACGCCTCGAGAGGCCCCCAAGAGGCTTCCCAGGAGAGCCCGAAACATAACAAATCATTAGTTTTCCTTAGGTTTTTGACGATTTTTTGGGGTTTCGCATTTTTCCCCAAACAGCTTGCTGAACGGGGTGCTGATGTGATAGAAGCTAACTCCGGCCGAGGGAGGCCGAAGCAGAGACATCCTCACAAAAATTTGATGGTCCTGGCCGTTTCGCTTGAGACATCCTCACAACTCTCGTTTCTGAGTTGGTCGGGATTGGCCGTTTCGCTTGAGATATCCTCGAAAAGTTGCGCTCTGGGACGCCGCGCGAGAGGTGGTCCGGGCCGTTTCGCTTGAGACATCCTCGAAACTCTGAGCCCCGAGGTGCCGTGCGAGAGGTGGTCCGTGCCGTTTCGCCTGAGACATCTTCGAAACTCTAAGCTCTGAGATGCCTTGCGCGAGGTGGTCCAGCCCGTTTCGCCTGAGACATCCTCGAAACTTATTTGTTTTCTCTGTTTTCTTTTTTTCTTTGTTTTTTTCTGTTTGTTTTGTTTTTCATTTTGTTTTTTTATTTTTTTGAATTCTTTTTTTTGCTGGACCTCGGGAAGATGCCGCGCGCGGAGGGTCGGATCACGGCCCTTTTCGCCTGAGACATCCTCGCAACTCTGAGCTGAGCTCTGAGATGCCGTGCGCAAGGTGGTCCGGCTTGTTTCGCACAAGACATTCTCGCAACTCTGAGCTCCCAGATGCCGCGCAAGAGGTGGTCCAGCCTGGGGGCCCAGAAGACCACATGTTACATATCTTCCCTGGGATCCTGGGAGCCCCAGGAGGCCCCAGAGAGCTTCAGGAGGCCGCAGGACGCCCAGGACAGGCCCCCGGGGGGAGCAGGAGGCTCCCAGGAGGCCCCAGGAGGCCCCCTATCAGAACGTGTCAAGTTTATACACGTCCAGTGTCGATTCGTTGATTTTTCCTGCTCTTGTGCCCCCCCCCATTTTGGGGGGCCCAAGCGGCCACAGGTTAGATATCCCCCCTGGGAGCCCCAAGAGGCTTCAGGAACCCCCAGGTGGAGTTCAGGATGCCACAAGAGGCCCAGGAGGAAGCCCCAGGAGGTCCCCAGGAGGCCCCAGGAGGCACCAGGAGGCCCCCGCAACTCGGAGCTCTGAGACGCCGCGCTCGAGGTGGGTCGCGGCCCGTTTCGCCGAGACTTCACCTCGCAGCCACGTTTCAGCCCGAGGGGGGGAACCCCCCCCCCCCCAACCGGGGCCCGTCTCGCCTGAGACATCTGCCAACTCTGAGCTCTGAGATGCCGTGCGCAAGTTGGATCCAGCCCGTTTCGCACAAAGACATTCTCGCAACTATTTTTATCTTTTTTTTTTTTTTTTATATTTTTTTATGTTTTTTTCTTATATTTTCTTTTTTTTTTTTTTTGTTTTTTTTTTTTTATTGTTTTATTTTTTTTTTTTTTTTATTTTGTCTTTTTTTTATTCTGAGCTCCCAGTTGCCGCGCAAGAGGTGGTCCAGCCTGGGGGCCCAGAAGACCACATGTTACATATCCCCCCTGGGACCCTGGGAGCCCCAGGAGGCCCCAGAGAGCTCCAGGACAGGCCCCAGGGGTCCCCAGGAGGCTCCCAGGAGGCCCCAGGAGGCCCCCTATCAGAACGTGTCAAGTTTATACACGTCCAGTGTCGATTCGTTGATTTTTCCTGCTCTTGTGGCCCCCCCCCATTTTGGGGGGCCCGACGGCCACATGTTAGATATCCCCCTGGGAGCCCCAAGAGGCTTCAGGAAGCCCCAGGTGGGGTCCAGCAGGCCACAGGAGCTGGAGGCCCCAGGAGGCCCACGCAACTCGGAGCTCTGAGACGCCGCGCTCGAGGTGGTCCGGCCCGTTTCGCCTGAGACTTCCTCGCAGCGCGTTTCGCCCAAGACATCGTCGCAACTCTCGGGTCCGAGATGCCGCGCGCGAGGTGGTCCAGCCCGTTTCGCCTGAGACATCCTACTCTGGGCTCCGAGATGCCTTGCGCGAGGTGGTCCGGCCCGTCTCGCCTGAGACATCCTCGCAACTCTGAGCTCTGAGATGCCGTGCGCAAGGTGGTCCCCTGGGAGCCCCAAGAGGCTTCAGGAAGCCCCAGGTGGGGTCCAGGAGGCCATAGGAGGCCCAGGAGGAAGCCCCAGGAGGTCACCAGGAGGTCCCAGGAGGCCCCAGGAGGCCCCCGCAACTCGGAGCTCTGAGACGCCGCGCTCGAGGTGGTCCGGTCCGTTTCGCCTGAGACTTCCTCGCACCACGTTTCGCCAGAGACATCGTCGCAACTCTGGGGTCCGAGATGCCGCGCGCGAGGTGGTCCAGCCCGTTACGCTGGAGACATCCTCGCAACTCTAGGCTCCGAGATGCCCTGCGCGAGGTGGTCCGGCCCATCTCGCCTGAGACATCCTCGCAACTCTGAGCTCTGAGATGCCGTGCGCAAGGTGGTCCGGCCCGTTTCGCATAAGACATTCTAAGCCTTTTTTTTTTTTTGGTTCTTTTTTTTTTCTAATTTTTCTGCGTTCTCAGATGCTGACGCAAGAGGTGGTCCAGCCTGGGGGCCCAAAGACCACATGTTACATTACATATCCCCCCTGGATCCCTGGAGCCCCAGGAGGCCCCAGAGAGCTTCAGGAGGCCGCAGGACGCCCAGGACAGGCCCCAGGGGTCCGCAGGAGATTCCCAGGAGGCTCCCAGGAGGCCCCAGGAGGCCCCCTATCAGAACGTGTCAAGTTAATACACATCCGGTGCCGATTCGTTGATTTTTCCTGCTGTTGTGCCCCCCCCCAATTTGGGGGGCCCCGACGGCCACATGTTAGAGATCCCCCCCTGGGAGCCCCAAGAGGCTTCAGGAAGCCCGAGGTGGGGTCCAGGTGGCCACAGGAGGCCCAGGAGGAAGCCCCAGGAGGTCACCAGGAGGTCCCAGGAGGCCCCAGGAGGCCCCCGCAACTCGGAGCTCTGAGACGCCGCGCTCGAGGTGGTCCGGCCCGTTTCGCCTGAGACTTCCTCGCAGCACGTTTCGCCCGAGACATCGTCGCAACTCTGGGGTCGAAATGCCGCGCGCGAGGTGGTCCAGCCCGTTACGCTGGAGACATCCTCGCAACTCTGGGCTCCGAGATGCCGTCGGGATGAAGAGGAGGTGGAGGAGGAGGAGGAGGAGGAGGAGGAGGAGGAGGAGGAGGAGGAGGAGAGAGGAGGAGGAGGAGGAGGAGGAGAGGATGAAGAGGAGGAGGAGGAGGAGGAGGAGGAGGAGGAGGAGGAGGAGGAGGAGGAGGAGGAGCAGGAGGCATGTTTTAACATGCCATGCCAGCCCGCACTGGACGGGCACGCAATCGACCTTGGAAACCGCAGTGGGTCTAAAAACCCTGTTTGGGGATACTGCACTCCGGCTATAATTGGCTTCCCGCCGCTC